CGTAATTTTCCAGAAAACGGAGTTTGAAGCTATACAAAAATTCAAGAATGTAAAGCAGAAAAAGGGATAATGGTGATGAACAACGCATAGCTTGGAAATGATACTGTATAAGCCGGCGGCAATGGTTATAGTAATGATGAGTGCTCAGTGTAGGTCCGCAAAAAATTGAGAAACAGTAGCAGCTGATCATTTCGGGCAATTGGTACAATTGCAAACCATTATTCACAGCACTTTCTCCTTTATTAAAATCGTTTGTGCGTAAATTCAATAGCTTCCAAGAATGAGGATATGTAGACCGTTTGACTTTTATTGCACCCTTGAATTTGTATGTCGTAGAATTGTAATAAATACAGTGAAACTTTTATTCTATTGTGTACCATTTAAATTACCAGAAAAAACAAAGAATTTATTTATTTGTTGATCGGAGAAACCACGGAAAACTACCGATCAGAGCTGTCGGTTACTACAATTCTGCTCCTGAGAGCGACTGAACTCGATCTATCTAGCTAGTTAGTGTCCAAAGTTCTGCCATCTACCGAATCGAAGCCTAGGACCCCTCAATTATGTAATGCTGCGGAAAATCTTTTTGGATATTTCAACGGGAATTCACGTTTTGAGGTCCCCTGATACCGAAAAAAAGTTGTTTTTATACGTTTGTTATTGGTCTGTCGATTAGTATTCTAAAAGTAACAATTGGTTTCTATTATTAGGAAACCGAAAAATTGAGAAAATATAAAAAATGTTCTTCAAGCAGCCATAGATGGAATTTGGCAAATTATGTGGCGAGTCAAAATAGCTAGCCCAGACCAAAGAAAACCGAAAAGTAACATGAGAAATTATGTGCCATTCTGGAGCACCATTCGTTGTCCGTTAGTCCAGGGAATCTCTGGGATGACCTAGCACTCTTTGATGTGGGTTTTCACTGAACGGTATTTTGTCGAACATTACTTGAGCTACTTTTCAAATTATTACTTTTGTACTAAGAAGTAAATTTGTTTGTGTTTTGATACATGTTTATAATTTTATTCTTATCTCCAAAATAGATCTCAAAACGATCACGAAATTTTTAGAGGTGATCTTCGAACAAGAGAAAAGCTACTGTTTGCAAGTAATTTCGTAAAAGTTATATCTAACTCTCCTTTTTCTACAACTTAAGAGTACACTCTCTCAGTTTTTGGCGAATATTTTGAAAAGGGTGAGTAGATCCATCAAAGTGTATTAAAAAAATCTTAAAGGCCATAAAGTTTTCTACTGAATACTTTTTTATTCATTCCAATAGCCCAATTACTCTTTGGGTAACTGCACGTCGAAATTGTTACTGGAAGTCTTCTGGAAGTACGTAACAATGCATTCGTTTAGAGCAAATATAATGGTAGCAACGGCGATCGTAGCGAACACGGTAGTGTAGGTAGGGCGAGACGGAGCAAGGAAGGTTTGAACGACGGTGGGAAAAAACAGGGAGGGCTGGTGCAGTGCGGCACAGGGCAGGCCAAAGCAGGGCAGATGAGGGCGGGCAGTGTACTTCTGTAATCGTATTTCAATCGCATCTAGAACATAAATATTTCCAAGAATGTTCCATGATCTCGTATGGCTTTATGGGAGGAGAACAGTTTGAGTATTTGAGAAGTATCGCTAACTAGCGAGCAGGTGACGCAGAAAATTGACGAATGAATGAGAATAGTCGTGTTTTGTAATATTCTCGATCTTGCCACTATGACATTTCGGTACATTACACGACATATCACGTATCGTATAAAATTGCAATATCTATCGAACAATGTTGCCAGTTTAATACTTATGTCTTCTCCCTCTCACAGGATATCGTTTAGCCCAATGAATTTGTCGAATTTGAGTGCGAAATCATCTCTGTGGATTAATCTCTGATTTATTCGTATAATATCTAGTCAGGAATATTTACGGTGTTTTTTTACGCCTGGTGGAGATATGTTTGTCATAATAAATAAGTCAGTGACATCCCAAGATGTTACAAGAAATAATTCGGATTAACGACGGCAGCCACTAGTTGTTTACTAATCCATTAGAATGCATGGAAGTCGGTGTTTCCATTACTACACGGAAACGTTCCTTGTCGAGAACAAGAGGTCGAGTCTAAGAAGTCAATCGTCTGATGGGAAGAGTAACTTTTGATTTGTAATGTCTTTATTTGAGACTTCAATTTTATGATAATTTGTTCGCGAGTGATTCAAATTTAATTGACGATTACGAGAACAATCTAAATATTTTCCCGTTCAGGGGTTGGAATTCATTCTGTTCTCTAATTGTTGTCTTGGAACTAGCACGGAAAGTACTTTCTGTACATTTTGAGGCTGGTGTTAAGAAAAGTTGAACTCCCATATCCAAACACTATGCAAGTATGCTTCAGTTTCTACACAGTCTCTATTAAAACTTACTTCTCGTTGGCGGACGGTGCCGCGAAAGGCGGAGGCGGGCAGACCCAAATGAGCACGGTGGGTAACCGGGAAGCCAGCCGGTGTAGGCGGAACCGCGATTAAACTGTCTGCCGCATTACGCTATTGTCACGGTTCGTTCTCTTCTGTGTCTAATATGTTATGAAGGTCTATAAATACAGCAGTAACGCTGGGTTACGTCAGTTTGATACAACTCGCACATTAGTACGAAAATCTATTTTACATTTTTCATTCAAATTTCTGATTTTCTGCCAATAAAATTTTTTAGAGACACTACTCAGCGTTAAACTAAATAAGAGTATATCGCTATAATCAAACCAAATCTATTATGTAAGCTTCAGCTTTAGTATTTGATACTTTCATCTTAACCGAAACTCTGGTTATCCGCAAAACCCTTTCCCTGTTTATTTCGTTTAAAACACATTCTCCTCCATATAAAATATAAAAAATTAATAAGTAAATAAATAATGAAAAATAAGTAAATAAATAAGTAAATAAATCAGTAAATAAATCAGTAAATAAAACAAATAAAGTAAATAAAACAAATAAAGTAAATAAAACAAATAAAGTAAATAAAATGAAATTAAGGAGCAGCGTGTGACGGTCTAGGAACGACTGATGCGCCGCATCCACATTACTCTCCACTCGCGGCTCGGCCCCCGCCAGCGCCGACAATGCTTAACGTCGCGCGCCCGTGCCACAATGCGGCGGAGGCGCGGAGGCGGCGCCTGCCATTGTGGGCGCAGCTGTGTGCGCCGACGCCGAGCACGCGCCCGCCCGGCCGGTGCCCCGAAAGACAGCGGCGGCCCGCCCACCGCCATGAATGCCCGCTTTCTCTGGGCGCCCACGGCGCGCTGCGCCGCCCCGCCACGCCACCCACGCTTACGCTCCCACACGGGCGACCCCTCCGCCTCCTCCCTGCGCGCCAGCACAGCTCCCGCCACCTCTCTTCCCCGCCGACTACACCCGAACCATGCCGCCACGCCACGCCATGCCTGCGCACCCACGCCAACCCCCCCACGCTCCACACCGCCCGCCACCTCCTTCCCAGTCCCCTGCTCCCCGCCAACGCCACTCGCTCGCAGCCCTCCGCCACCCAGGCGGTCTCGCCACCCTCCTACCGCCGCACACACGACCACGCACGCCAGCCAAGCCCACGCGCCATCGCAACACCGCCCAGCACTCTGCCAGCCAATGCCACGCCAGCACAATGCGACGCCAATGCCGCCTCCGCATCCCATGCCACCCAACCACGCACTGCCACGCACAATGCCCTCGCCAACTGACGCCAATGCACCCATGCCACCCAATGCACGCCCATGCCACGCCAATGCCACGCAACTGCCAAGGCTGCACGCACGCCACGCCAACCCCTTTAAACCTGCCTCCATTCCTGCTTCGGGCATGCCCCTCCATGTCCCCCCCCGTCTTGCTCCCCACCGCACAGGACGCTCCCTCGCACGCCCCTCCAGGCCACGCCTCCGCAGCCAACGCCACGCCACGCCACGCCCGACCGCCGGCTTTTGCACCAACACCCGCCCCGCACCGGCTCGCCGCCGCACCGCTCCGACATGCCATGCCATTGCCATCCGCACCCCCGCAAACCTCCTGCCATCATACGCTCCTGCCCCAGACTTCTCCGCCTCACCCATATCACCCCTTCCCCGCCGTCTCGTCACGCCGCACCAGCCAGAATCGCCCGGCTCCCCCGCTCCGCCCGTCGCCGCCCCGCTCCGCCCCGCTCCGCCCGCTCCGCCCCGCTCCGCCGCTCCGCCCCGCTCCGCCCGTCGCCTCCCCCGCTCGCCCGCCGCCGCCCGCCTTCCGCCCGCTCCCGCCCCGCGTCCGCACGCTCGCCCGGCTCCCCCGCCCCTCCCCCCCACCCGAACATCGAACCGCGCCTACCCCGCTCCGCCCTTCACCGCTCCACCATGCCCCTCCTTGTCCCGCCGCCCCGCGTCCCCGCCGCGGTCGCTGCAGGATGCAGTCGGCATGGCGGCGCGCCTAGAGAATCTGCCTGTACCGTAGGACGAGGAGCTGCAGAGGTACGGAAGGGGAAGGTTCATTGATTGCTTCGTACTATGAATATTTTGACTATAAGTATTTTTTTATTATGATTTTATTTTGATTATGATTATTTCGTGCTATGGCTATTGCTCCCGTTAGTGTAGTGAATATTATATATTCTGTGGTGGCGGTGATCTTCCTCGCTGGAGGGCAAGATCCGGCTCCAACCTACCCCTGTGCATGCGGAGTGTTCCTCATCCAGGTATTCCTCACCAGCGAACAACTGCCCCAGACTGCACAAGATTCCGTCTGATTCCTCGACATGTGCATGTATGTGTACGTGACGGGTGAGGAGATGACAAGGAAGGGGAAGGAGACATCGCGCGCATTCCTTGGCCCATGTGTTAGGATTGTGCTCCGGGGTTCGCTGGGTGTTGATCGGTGAAACCACTGAAAATTCAGAGGCACTGCAGTTGATGCCCTGAGCCACCTAAACCAGCCGATAGGGAAGCACATCTCAGGAGAGCACAGAAAGGGAAAAGGACAGGAGAGAACGAGAAGGGAAACATGGGTAATGGGTAAGTAAGGGGTGGACAGAAGAGCATTAGTGCTATAAGAACCGGAAGATGATGGCCAGAGTATTGGAATGGAAAAGAAAGGAGCAGAAGAGGAGAAATCGCGACAAAGAACAAAGAGGAAAACCGTGGGAAAGTCCGGAATGGAGAGACAAGAGATAATAAGAGAGCAGAGGAGGAAATGGAATGTGATAACATAAGGCAAAGGCAGGAAAATGAGAGAATGGATAGGAAAGAAGAGGCAAAATAGAATAAGAAAGCAGAAGGCAGAATATCAGCTAGAGCCGGAAAGGAGACGCAAGAGAGAATAGAAGAGGAGACTAAAGGATAAGAATGGAGAGAGGGGACGAATGCGGAGGAATAAGGAACGCGAACAGGATAAAATAGGCGACAGGAGAGAGCAAAATTAGAAAAGAAGAAATTAAAACAAGGGAGAATAAAAGAAACGTAGCAAGGGACAAAAGAACGGAACGGTAAAATACCGAAAAGGAGTAGGTGACAACAGCAGAGAAGAGAGACCAGGAAATGAGAGGGACGGGAAACTTAGTGTGATGACGATATGAATGGATAGGAAATCAGCAAAGAACAATCGGTAGAATAAAGAGTACAGAGGAAACGACTGCAATGGAGAGGATGAGTCAGAATAGACGAAGAGAAAGGACTGGGAAGGAGAGGCAGGAGAACATAAAAAGCAAAGCAAGGTTGGGGTAAGAGAAGGGTAGTGAAAAGGAAAGGATCAGAAATGAAAGGACAGAATGGTAGAAGAAAGGAAAGGGCAGGAGAGCACAAAAGAAGAGGAGGAAATGAGATGACAGGCTACAAGGACCCTAGGGGGAAAAGTCTGGAAAGGAAAGAAAAGAAAAGAAAAGAGGAAAGAACAAGGAGCCATGTTTCCTCTACTCCACTTCATACCGCTTCGCTTTGCTACAACCTTGAGATGTAGCATGTAATTAAGAAAATACGTTTCAATGCAACCGTGAACTTATTACACTATTTTCTCCGTATAACATTGTCACAAGGAACAATAGAGCCTTAACACTTTCATAATTCTCTAAGTTACACAATGGGATCTTGGAGTGGCTGCCTTCCAGAGAAAGTACCGGAAAGACGAGAAAGTTTTTAAACATAATACAACTAGGAACAGGTGTAAATAAGATCCAAATATCTCTCCTTATTTTGGTTCCGCGTCTACAGGACCACGAAAAGCTCTACAAAGTTTGTCTTTTTTTCTCTTCCCAAAATCTCATCCTATCTTTTTCTCTTCCGCTTTTCTCTTGAGACCGGGAGCGGTGGCTCAGGGCATCAACTGATCACTGCTTTCACTGCAGTGGCTCTGACCGGGAGGTCGTAGGTTCTAGACCCGACGGTGGCACGATTTTCGACCTTAGCTTTTCAGGTAGGTTGAATTGAGACGTTGCCTGGAGGATAATTCTAGCGACCGGCTGCTCTGATCTGCATTTTTCTGTGTTTTTTCCGATAAACGCCAGGCAAACGCCGGAGCAGTACCCTAACAATCCAGCCACGGACCGCGCGCGATCTTTCCTTTCTCTTTCTCTTCTTATCCTCACATCTTACTTACACACACCTACTAACATGCACTGTACTGCTAGACATGCCGGGAGACTGGTTGAAAGCTTAGCGCTTGTCCCGCCTGGAGCGGGGCCCCGCTGGCAGGTGATACCTGGTTAGGGAAAACCCGCTAGAAGAGGGAAAGTTAGCACCGGTTATCACTGCCCAGTGTGAGAAGACAACCGCCACCTCCCAAAAAGGGAAACGTGCACTACACTTACGGGACATATGACCTTGATCGTTGACCACATTCACTTACAACCAACCAATCAACTTTTTCTCTGGGATAATCATTACCCTTTCCCTCGTCTCCGCCATTGCCGAATCGCTTTCATATTCGCTATAATTTATTTGAAGCAAGTTAGTTATGTTTTTACTTGCCCAAATCTCCTTCCCTTCCAGCTTGATCCCTATCCCAGACCAGAGATCAACAACCTATGATTCCCTACTCTCCACCAACTCTATCTGCCCTGACGAATAATTCAAGCAGATTTCTGTTTTTTTTTTTGTTTTTTGTTTTTTTGTTTTGTTTTGTTTTGTTTTGTTTTTTTTTTTCATTTATATCTTCTTCAGAGCTTCTCACAATGTAATAAATATGTTGGCGAATTTATTAGTAAAGGGGAAAACGTAACGTATGTGTAACAAGGAACTCAAAAGGTCGTATCTAGTTAAAGAATATATGCTGAGTTGAAATGGAGATTATTGTAAACTATAAACTACCCACCATAAACTGTGTGGTCCCCTTACAAAAAATGGCGAACGTTTATTAAGCAGTGATGCTTAATAAATGTTGAGAATCTTATACGTTACGTAAATATACAACGAATTTTTATCTTCTTTTTAGAAAGAAATCACGTGAATGAAGGATTTTCAACTCTCAAAAGTGATACTCAATAACACAATATTTTTAATGATTTTTCATATTCACGTTATGGTTGACTATTTTATTTTCTTACACCATACTAGTTCCAACAGGACACTTTCCTTATTTTTGATTATAAACTTTGCATTCCACGGCACTTAACGTCATCCACGTACAAAGGATCAGTGAGTAGGACAGACGTTATTGAAACAATTTCATTTTCCATTGTTAGATTTACAATTGGCAATTTAAGTGTGCTTTCACTGCAAATACGTAATTTCTATAAAGGAGTTTTCCAATTCAATGAAGTTAATATATACAGTTGAACATGGCAGTAGTGTCATTACTTGAATTCTGTTGTCTGTTCAGAGATATGTGTGTGGGACCACTTTGATATGGTCTGCTTGAGCCGTACTCTGCGCCGTCACCAGCTCTCGGCATTGTTCTGAAAACACAATTGTACTTTCTTCTCCAGTTATTCGAGTTACGGAAGAAACTTAATCTTAGGATGGGTTTTATGAAAATCATGCCAATGTATCTCAATTGTCAAGAGGTCAATGAAACGATTCATTGCCGATGAATACAAAAGGAGAAATGTTTGAGCTACATTTAAGAAACTTCGTTATCACGTTCTTCACTAGAGAGAGAGAGATAATTTCCTGTGATACTGTATATCTGTGAAAATGTTATCAATTCACCAAAACTGGGGTGCGAATTACGCATATAGGTGTCTGGTCAATTCACTAAATTGTGTGTTAAGATATTCCACCCACGTTTTCAGAAATTTTTCATCATGAATTATAATATCAATGTTGTTCATCTCAATTTATTGCTCTATCTAATGGTGCTGTTCATAATACTTACCAACTTTTGAAAAGGTTTAATAGTTTTGCTAATGAAACGTTGAATTAAACATGTTTCAATGACACCTCACATAATACCGAAGAAGGCTGCCAAATAGTTGCAATATTTTTACTCTCTCGTGTACGTACGTATATATGGAATAATGTACCAATACATTGTGTAGAGAAAGCTATTCTTAAAATTTTGGTGATACTTTATATGAAACTCCTGGAACATTTTCAAAATTTTCTCAAAGATTACTCTAACTTTCTCTTTAAATGCTGTAGCAGAAAATGCTGTAGCAGCATTTTTTAGCTAATTTTGAAAATGTTCTTTAGGCTACGTAAAAAGTGCGCCGAAAATCAAAATATCCGCTGCAAATTCGCAGTTTTTTTATTTCGGTCAGATCGATCGGGGAACGTTAATTTGGAATAAAATCGTCTGAACGGTGAAGCGCTAGTGTTCTCTGCTGGCGGAACAGGCCGTGATTTTTCGGTGTCAGTGACCGAAAACAAACATTCTGATTAAAAAATTGTTAATAATTTTAATACAATTGATTAAACATTTGTTAATAATTTAAGTAATAATTTTCTACATATAGAAACAAGATTTAACCCCTTTTTTGATAACAGAGCTCTGCAATACGAGTTTTTCTCAAAAAACCACAATGCGAGTTTTTCTTAAAAATAATCGTCACTTTTCACAGCAACGTTACAATACTTTCTCTTTACTACGTAAGTAGTAGGTGAGAAAGTAATACAAATGAACCGAATAAAGCAATCCAGTTATATTATTTGTCTGATATTAATGAATTTTAAGGAGCTTCGCCAATTTATTTACGTATTTATAAAGCATTAGCAAGAAGAAAAGTTTGGAAACGGCTGCAACTTTAAAAAAATAACTTATTATGTAAATGTTATAACTCGACTCTCGTATATATATTTTTCTTAAAAACATAGTACGGAGGGAGTGTTTGAATGGTTCGGTGGACTAGGGATCTCATTGTTGAATTATTTACAAACAAGCGTCAATTAACTGACAAACGTAAACAAAGTGTAAATTTTTATTCGCAAGCACTTTTGTTAAAAATTATAAAGTTAAATACAACACTAGCGAATACTAATTTATAAACGGAATTGTTCAAAAACTTCTTTATCGCATATTTTTCAAACAAGTAAGTGTATATTTGTTCTAGCAAATTGTGTGTAGTAAAATAATACTTCCTAGAGCAAACTATGTTTAGAAAAACCTACCGCAGAAACACAAATATTGACAACGGTTATATATGCTTAAATTTCTCAGAATTAAAGTGACTTAAATGTTTCTCTCTGACGTAATATTTTATTGTTATTTCTAAATTATAAAATTTAGAATCCTTAGAGAGTAAAAGCCTCTGAGTTCTACTTATGTTTTCTATTAAATTTATAATTTAGTATAATTTGCCGAAGATCACGTTAAGAATTTGTTGATGTTTTCTCAATTATCGTCTATTTACTCTTCAAATTGCAATTGAAATATTGACAGATAGAAATACATACGCGGAGAAAGTGTTTTAAGTTTTTGGGTCTGACATTTCTTTTGTGTGCGTGCGTGTGTGTGTGCCTGTGTAATTGCATATTGATTCTGATTACTTATGTTCCATATTTGAAAACTATTAAGAGACGTATTTGTTTAGTGATGCTTAGGACCCCTTATCATATTAATACGACCCTGCTTGGCGTATCGTACACAACAGGTACTTTTGATCCGCAGACGTGTACGGGCAATAATCACAATTACTGGGCCATGGAGGGCACGACACAGTTCTACCAATGTACGTGTGGCGACCAGTTCAGACCATTTACACATTCCTGGTATGGTCGTGAGCCAACGGTGCAGCAGGATTACCACATTTGGAGCGAAAATACAACTAAACCTCGTGAAGAATCTCGGGAGGAGAACTTCACCGATTCCAGGTAACAGGCAGCTCCCCCTTGCCAACCCTTCCCCACGTAACTAGATTTTCACTTGCAGATACACCACATGAAAACTAGTGGTGCTATGGGATGGCACAAACTTTGTAGAACTAATTAGTTTCTTAATCTCATAAATCTGCCATTTTGATTTTTCCGCACCCTCTTCTCAGCCGCTAGCAATCGGCACCTAAAATCATTTTTTTTTACATTTTCTTAATTCTTCAGTTATCCTAATGAAATTCATATACGAATTCAATAATATTTTATAAGAGTTAAATCTGGTCCAATGAATAAATTTGTATTGAAACATTTGGAGCAGTTTTTGAAATAATCTCATTTGAGCTTTTCTGAAAATGCTTGAATTTTAGTTCATTTTTGCAGAAAATTTTCCGAGATTTGAGAAATTTTCAAATGAATCTTTAAGTCTAGTTCTCAAATGTCGCTAACCTCGATTTGTTGATACTTGCATTCGCCGTTCCCCTGATTATGATTAAAAGATTGAGAAGAGATTCTGAATCTCAAGAAAACAGGCGCAGATTGTAGTACTTCTCCCCCATATGCCACATATATTTTTGCTGTTCTTTGAGAAAATAAATCATGTCAAATTAAAATAAAAATTAATATTTTTTCGAGACAGCCTTTTTTTTCCTTTTCCCTTCACAATCTACATCTTAAGATATGTCGGTATTTCAGAAACCGATTATCTGTAAATTACCTTCTATCTAACGAAATGTGCCGGCCCTTATTTGACTTTCCATCGATCCCTTCCTAGTGACACGGGTCGATGCGGTAACCCCGACGGACGCCCTTCCATTGACTGGGACGTGTTCATGCCGTGGTCATCGATCGCGGACCCTGAGGACCTGAAACGCCTCTCAGAACTCCCGGTGGCAACGCCCACCAAATGGGACAGGTACATCGACGAACAGGTGAGTCAGACTTCTACTTATTTATTTGACGTCATAAACAGTTTTAAACTGTGACATACTATGGGGAGAAGAGAATTTTGTGCACGTTTTCTTAAATTTTGGTATCCCTTCCCTAACCCACATACAAGTTGAATTCTGAATACTGATGAAAATTAGCATTTTTGGAAAGAAACATTCTCTCCAGTGTAATAAAAATTATTTTCAAAGACAAATCCGCTTTTATCCCTCATCGTGCCCTTCGTGAAGGAATCGACACACGTCGTTAGAACATGGATAACGATAATCTGAATAACTATATTATTCACAGAACTGTAGAAGACGTGCGTAGGTAGTGAAGTTACATTTAAAGAAGAATTTTAAGAAGCAAAACAAGAGGCCATCTCAGCGTTTGCTTGAAGGATCAGGAAACTGGACGAAAAACCTGACCGAGATGAAGGTCATTGACCCATGCATTTTGTAAGCATTGCGCGTCCCCTAGTATAACAGAGTGGAAGCACCCTTGGTACAGGGAGAGTGGCATTTCCACAATATAAAGAAGAAAATCTAAATATGAGCTAGCTTTTTGTTTTTGAATATATTCAGCATAATTTTGGAGATATGGGGGATTTTAAACTTTGAGCAGTACTTTCATACATATCCTACAATTATGGAATGATTCACACTTTTCATATAAACATGCTTTATTAAAATCTGGAAAATGTTACATTTTAAAAATGGGGTCCCAATATGGGTTATCCCAATTTTTTTGGAAAAATGTAATGAAAAATGTTATTACAGTAAAATTCACTTACAAATAGTACAATATAAGCACAAAATCGTAAACTCACTAACAAAATGACATGTACTCGTATACACATCTCTCTCCCAACCAGCACATTCTGTGTGTGACCATCCATGGCGTGTAACACACTGTACACAACATTCGCCATTACTGTCTTCGGAAAACAACCGTTGGCAAAACACACAAGAAGAATCATCTTTTTGAGGGATATTGAGGGGTGTGGGCACTCAAATTCTGAATCGGTGTTCTCCAGGGGTGGCTAGCCTCACTAGCGCATATTTGGACCAAACCCCCTTTTACAAAACCATCATGGCGGCCGTTGATGGTAGATTTATTTAGACAAAAAACAATAACAACTGTATGTAACGTTTTGAACGAAACGAACTGAACTGTTTTAAACAAAAGAATGATTTCAATCTCAAGAATATTGTTCATTACAATCGAATAGTACAATCATTATAAAGAACAAGTATTTCTAGAACAAATAATGAAATGAACAAATATCTAAAAGTGTAAGTACTGTAAGTCGTAAATAAGGGTCGCTAATAATAGGTAAAAACATTTCTGTTGTGATTTTGAACAACTACTGCAAGTCTACTGGAAAAGGAAAAAAACAACTCAGGGTTCATTTCTTTATTATTGCTGCATTTAATTGCAGAGCAATGCACCCATTTTGACACACGCATTATTATTAACGTGATAGCTGGAAAAGTATGAGACATTGAAAAAACATCGATGGTTTTTAGTCGATGTAATATTAACGCCGACTTTTTAATTCTGAACTTAAATGTTTGCTAACATGGATGTTCTGTTATCAATGTCGCATCGCGTTGCGCAGTGGCGATGGTGTAACTGTTAGCGTGTCGGACTCTCTAGTTCGAAACCGATCGAAGCCGTGGATTTTTAATAGCGAAAAAATCCTTAGTACGCTTTCCTTCGGAGGGGAAGTTAAAGCCGGCTGTCCATGTTAGTAGATTTATGGTATGTAAAATATACTCAATCCTAAATGCTAAAAGCCTGTATGCTTAATTCGAATAGCCTGCTTCATCGCCCAAGAAATACCTCCTTTCTCCGCTAGGGTGTTAAAAAGAGCGTAGCGGAATTCGCGTGTTCAGGCGAAAGAGCGTGCCTGATGGCCCGAGACTGCCACGTACAATAAGAATCCAGTTCAGTTCAATTCTGTTCAATTCTGTTCAATTCTGTTCAATTCTGTTCAATTCTGTTCAATTCAGTTCAATTCAGTCCAGTTCAGTCCAGTCCAGTCCAGTCCAGTTCAGTTCAGTTCAGTTCAGTTCAGTTCAATTCAGTCCAGTTCAGTTCAGTTCAATTCAGTCCAGTTCAGTTCAGTTCAATTCTGTCCAATTCAGTCCAGTTCCGTTCAATTAAGTTCCATTCAGTTCAATTCATTCAATTCAATTCAATTCAATTCAATTCAATTCATTCAATTCAATTCAATGCATGCCCATTTCTCGAATTGTGGCAGCTGTCGCCGTACGCGTCGTGCGCCGAGGAGGAGGAGCGGGAGGCAGGCCGACCGCGCCGCCTCCGCCCGCGCACCGCCCCTGTGCGCCTGCGCGCCGGCGGCCCGCTCGCCAAGCCCCCCACGCCCTCCGCGCCCGGACGGTGAGACACCACCACTCCTCTCTCCCCCCTTCCCTCCTCTCTCTCCTCCCTACTCTCCCCTCCTCCCTCTCCCCCTCCTCTGTCCCCTCTCTCTCCTGTCTCTT